CACATTTGTGAGGCCCTGGGTTCAAATCCTCAGCACCACATAAGTAGAAAAACAGCCAGAAGTGGTGCTATGACTCAAGTGGTAGGGCTAGCCTTAAGCTGAAGAGCTGAGGGACAGCACCCAGGCCCAGAGTTCAGACCCCGTGACCAACCAAAAAAAAAAAAGAAAGAAAAGATTGACATAGGATATTTTTATTTTGTGGACTAAGTCAAATCTTATGAGGGCCAAATCAATCATTAGGTACTTTCTTGACTATTGTTACTCTAACATTCACCTGGACAGTGTTTTGTAGATCTACTAATGTGGTATGTATTCCATGTGATGTCCTGAATGTGTTATGATTGCTTATGAGAGCTTTTTTTTTTTTTTTTTGCCAGTCATGGTGCCTGAACTCTGGGACTGGGCACTGTCCCTCAGCTCTTCAGCTCACTTCCAGCTTTTTCTGCTTATGTGGTGCTGAGGAGTCGAACCCAGGGCCTCATGCATGCAAGGCGAGCACTCTACCAATGAGCCACCTTCCCAGCCCCTATGAGAGCATTTTTAAATAAGATCTAAATATGCTTTTCATTGAGGCAGAATATGAACATGCAGAAATAATTATTTACTTCATTGTTACCCTGATATTTAGTGAATTTTATCAAAATAAGCTAAACACACTCTTTGAGACACCTACTTAGATTAAATGTTGTCATGCCAGAGTATTAGCTCCTTAGAATTGTCATCTTGTCTCTATTGCTAGCACCAGAAATGTGTTCTGATGAATTAGGGAAACTTCGTATTTATAATTACCTAATTAATATAGAGGCAAACATTTCTACTTTGATTTTCCTTCTCTCATGGTATAGATAATACCTCAAGTCCCAAATACTTTATTTAAGACAAAAGTATACATGTAGAAGAATTAAATTCCAGACTTGATGTTCTCATGAGTCAGGGCTTGTACTTCAATTGTGTCATTACAGAAACTGGTGTCATTTGATGATGTGGCTGTGGACTTCAGCTGGGAGGAGTGGCAGGACTTGGATTTTTCTCAGAGGACCCTGTACAGAGATGTAATGCTGGAGACCTACAGAAACCTGGTGTCTTTGTGTGAGCAAAAGTCACATTCATTTTCTAGGTCAAGTGATTTGTTTTTAGTAGATATTTGAATATTTATCAAATTTTCAATGCTATTTGGATGGTAGATTCTAGTCCATGGGAAGTGTCATTTCTTTCTAAGGAAAACTTCAACTTCATTATGTAACTCCTGAGGCATTTTTGTTTGTTTGGATTTTTTTGGGGGGGTCCAGTCATGGGGCCTGAATTCTGGGCCTGGGCGCTGTCCCTCAGCTCTTCAGCTCAAGGCTAGCGCTCTACCACTTGAGCCACAGCGCCACTTCCGGCTTTTTTCTTTTTGCTTATGTGGTGCTGAGGAATCGAACCCAGGGCCTTTGGCATGCAAGGCAAGCGCTCTACCACTGAGCCACCTTCCCAGCCCCCCTGAGGCATTTTTATTCTCATTTTTCAAGCTGCCAATTCAGCAGTTTGACAAAAGTTCTAAACTATGTTCCAGTAACAGGAGACATTCTTCCCCAAACTTGAGGCAATTATTGTAGGGTGACATACAATGTAGAGTAGAATGCATATGACTATTGGAAATATGATCTGGAAAATCATAGTTGAAAGTGGGTATTTATCATTCAAATATGGCACTGGGTGCAGTGGTTCATGCCTATAATCCTAGCTAATCGGGTGGCTGAAATCTCAGGATTTCAGTTTGAAGCCAGAAATTGCACCAAAGTCCCCACAAGACTCTTATCTCCAGTTAACCACTCAAAAACTGGAAGTGGAGCTGGGACTCAAACTGGTACTAGCCTTGAGCAAAAGAACTGAGTTCAAGCCACACTACTGGCAAAATAAATCCAAATGGGGGGAAAGTCAACTATGGAGCCAGTGAGAAATGAGAAACAAGATTTAGTAGCAACCTTGTGAATGGGATGTCTGAGATTTTTTTTTTTTTGGTCGGTCGTGGGGCTTGAACTCTGGGCCTGGGCGCTGTCCATCAGCTCTTCAGCTCAAGGTGAGCACTCTACTGCTTGAGTCACAGCACCACTTCTGGTTTTCTAGTACTTTATTGGAGATAAGAGTTCCATGGACTTTCCTGCCCGTGCTGGCTTTGAACCATGATCCTCAAATCTCCAGTGTCTTGAGATTTTACAGCAATGATGACCCAGCATGAGCAACAGTTCACTGGTTCTTATTAGCAGGGCCCTGTGTTCCTAAACCTAACTTGATTGTCAAGCTGGAAGAAGGTGCAGAACCATGGATAGGAGAAGCCTCAGACAAGAATTTCACAAGTGAGTTAATGCACCTTGCATGGTGATGTTGGATTGACAGCTTGGTTGGTGAGTTCATCTTGCACTATACTGAGTAATAATGTTCCGACTTCCCCTGAGTCCTGAGTGTGGCAGAGAACTAGGTGATCTTTTGTCTCAAAGACTTGTGAATCCAGAATTCATATGGAGACATACTGAACTCTGTGTGGCAGCAGAGTTAAAGTTAGCAATTCTCTTTCTCTTTGCAAAAATCATTCCAAAACAAAAAATTAAAATGAGAAATTTAGAATATGAGAATTCATTTTCTTTAAAACCAGGATTGTGCTGCTATGAAAAATAAGTAGTATGCCAGGGCTGCTATCCTTTAATAAGAAAAATAGCTTATCAGTGGTGGGCAAATATTGGGATTCAGAAGCAAAGCATTTAGTCTAAAATGGATGATTAATTAGGTGGTAAGCCAGAGTATCTTTGGTCCGCCAAGGATCTAAGGTAGGAGTGTCAGCAAAGGAACTTTTTTGAGCAGTGGGTTTGAACTCTGGACTTGGGTGCTGTCCCTCAGCTCTTCAGCTCAAGGCAAGCACTCTACCACTTGAGCCACAGTGCCTCTTCTGGTTTTCTAGTGGTTTATTGGAGATAAGAGTCTTAGGGACTTTCCTGCCCAAGCTGGCTTTTTTTTTTTTAATTGTGAAAATACCATACAGAGGGGTTACAATTATAAGGGCAAGATTATGAGTACATTTCTTCTTTTTTTTTTTTTTGGCGGTTGTGGGGCTTGAACTCTGGGCCTGGGCGCTTGTCCCTCAGCTCTTCAGCTCAAGGCGAGCGCTCTACCACTTGAACTACAGTACCACTTCCAGTTTTCTAGTGGTTTATTGGAGATAGGAATCTCAGGTCTCTCCTGCCCGGGCTGGCTGGCTTTGAACCGCGATCCTCAGATCTCAGCCGCCTGAGTAGCTAGGATTACAGGCGTGAGCCACCAGCGCCCAGCTAAAAAAGGAATTTTGATGAGACTTTGTCTAAGCTGAAAAGAAATGAATTTTAAAACTCCCACAGATAAAACTAGTAATTCTTACTGAGAAATTAAAACAAAAGAGATTTAGGTAGCAATACTTTCAAGAACCATTCCTGCTTAGGTGAAAGGCAAGGGTATGTATAAAATACTCTTTATGGCCTCTAAATCTAGTAACTATTCCTGTTTCTCATCTAATAGTTGAAAAACAAAGTAGCAAAATGCATTTTTCAAGAAAATAAAAGGAAACAAAGTAGATATTCCCCTATGATAAAACAAAACAATATTTGAAAAACACAACCACGAGAATACTAAAGAAAAAAGGTCAGTACTCAGCTTAAATCTCTAGCCATACAAAGTTGAATTACGTAAATATTTTTCCTGATGTAAAAAGAAGAAAAAACTGAAACACAGAAAAAATTAGTTTCCATTGTAAAATACCAGTTTACTCTCTTAATTAATATACTAGGTAAAAGACTATATATTTTTTCATAAATCTATTCCTACTTTGATACATAGTTTTTTGTCAGTCCTAAGGCTTGAACTTAGGGCCTGCGCACTGTCCCTGAGCTTCTTTTGTACAATACTAGCACTCTACTACTTGAGTCACAGTGCCACTTCTGGCCTTTTCGGTTTATGTGGTACTGAGGAATCAAACACAGGGCTTCATGAATGCTTGGCAAGCACTCTAACACTAAAACATATTCCTAGCCCCATACTTTGGTATTTTAAGTCTATCAGGATGGGAGAAAATGTCTTTTTTTTTTGTGTGTGTGAAGATACTGTACAGAGGGGTTACAATTACATGGGCAAGATAATGCGTACATTTCTTACCAAGCATTGCAGCCTCCTCCTTTTGTTTACCCTTCACATCCCTTCCCAGCCTCCCCCCTCACCCCCAATCCCAATCTTTCTCCTTTCCCCCCTTCCCCCCCCACCCCCGCACCAACGTTGTAAAGCTCGTTTTGGACATCTCAACTTGTACTTCTCATTGTTGCAACAGGTCCACCTGTATCTTTAAACAACTGGTTTTTCCCCATCTCCTCCTCAAGTTATACTGACATCAAATATAGTGAAAGCAGGGGTTATACTGTGGGGGAGGGACATACCAAGCGAGAAAATGTCTTTACCTTTACATAAAGGGATTTTTTGGTCTTATTTATGTTTTTTTTTCTATGACTCATTTTAGATGTTCAAGAAATGGAAGATATGATTAAGACCTTCCAGGAAAGTCCAAATGAGTATCTTTGTAAAGTATCTGTCACAAATAATAACTCAATAGAAGAAAGTATGAGAACTTTCAATTTGAGTTTAAAACATAAGCCAGAGCTGATTAGTAGTAGTAGTAATGGGAACTCCTTAGGGATGAGGACTGAAGAGATCATTGAGTGTCAGAACATGCTTCTCTGTAGTGAATCTGATGAGATGCAGGCTACATATAGGCCTGGTCTGTTTCCTGTAGTTGAAAAATCCCTGAGATATTTGGAGTATTCTAGTCAAACTGATGAGCAGCAATGTTTTGAATATGGTGGAGAAAGAAAGGTATTTAAATCAGAGACCATATTTTTTAGACATAATTGTATTTATATGGGACAGCTTTCCTGTAACCATAATGAATATAGAGAAGACTATGATAAGTCTATTCTCTTTGCCCAAGAAATACTTCATGGACAGAGAAAAACACCTGAATGCAATGGATGTGGAAAAAGTTTCGATTTAAGTAGTATAGTCACTACACATCAGAAAATGTACACAGGAGAATATCCTTATACATGTAATGAATGTGAAAAACCTTTTAGTAAGGAAATTCACCTTACAAAACCCCAGAGCAAATATGCAGAGAAGTCCAATGAGTATATCCAATGTGAAAAATCTATCTGTCAGAAGTCAAACCTGACTTTCTCACCTCAAACACCCACAGAAAAGAAACCTTATCAATATGAGGGATATAGGTCAATTTACACCCAGAAGTCAGCTCTCAACCAGTATCAGAGAAGTCATACAGAAGAGAGAACTTACGAATGTGACAAATGTGGAATGTCTTTCAGACTGAAGTCATACCTCACTTTACATGAGAGAATACACACAGCAGAGAAAACTTATGAATGTATCGAGTGTGGAAAGTCTTATACCCAGAAGTCGCAACTTACTGTCCATCAGAGATCACACACAGGAGAGAAACCTTATGCATGTAATGTGTGTGGAAAGTCTTTCACCCAGAAGATACACCTTACTAATCATCAGCGAAGACACACAGGAGAGAACCCTTATGAATGTAATGTATGTAAAAAGTCTTTCACTAGGGAGGGAGAGCTTAATGTCCATCAGAGAGTACACACAGGAGAGAAACTTTATGAATGTATTGAGTGTAGAAAGTCTTTCATCAGGAAGTCATACTTTAACATCCATCAGAGAATACACACAGGAGAGAAACCTTATGAATGTAATGTGTGTGGAAAGTCTTATACCCAGAAGTCGCAACTTACTGTCCATCAGAGATTACACACAGGAGAGAAACCTTATGAATGTAATGTGTGTGGAAAGTCTTTCACCCAGAAGATACACCTTACTAATCATCAGCGAAGACACACAGGAGAAAAACCTTATGAATGTAATGTGTGTGGAAAGTCGTTCACCCAGAAGATACGCCTTACTGAACATCAGCGAAGACACACAGGAGAGAAAACTTATGAATGTAATGTATGTAAAAAGTCTTTCACTAGGAAGGAAAACCTTAATGTCCATCAGAGAGTACACACAGGAGAGAAACTTTATGAATGCATTGAGTGTAGAAAGTCTTTCATCAGGAAGTCAGACCTTAACATCCATCAGAGAATACACACAGGAGAGAGGCCTTATGAATGTAACAGGTGCAGAAAGTCCTTTACCAAGAATTCACACCTCATCAAGCATAAGAGAATTCACACTGATGAGAAATCGGGAATGTAAGAAATGTGGTGAGTCTTTGACCTGGAAGAAAATTAAGTTTACATCAGAGAACTCACACAGAAGAGAAGCTTTATGCATGTAGCAAACTTGCAGCCTTTTACCCAGAAGTCACAGCTCTGATTTCTTCATTGGACACCCACATTAAAGAAATTTTATGAAGAAACAAATGTGGAAAGTTTTTGAAGAAGTCATACCTCAGTTTGCATCAGAAAACACACACAGGAGAAAAACATAATGACCATCCTCTCTCAGCATCTTATCACTGTCAAAAGCCTCAAGGGAGCCTTCATGATCCATAGGTGACCCACCTGTGACCAGTGTACTATTTGGCTCCCAAGATGGCTCAGCACACAGAACATCCTGAGCCAATTGCCACTTGATATCTGTGCCAAGAATTAACTTTTCTTCAACTGATGAACCCTGATGAGCAGTTAAACTAAATTATGGATGCCTTGTGTCCTACTGAACTGTTGCTTAGAGGATGGTGACACGTTTCTGTGAATTGCTGATTTGCACCAGAGTTAGCAAGGGGACAAGGTCAGCTGAGAATAGGTACTCTCCTGGTCAGGTCCTCCTCACCAAACAAGGGCTCAGTCTTACCCTGACTAGTGCTTCTGGACTAGAGAGCAGAAGCTGATCTCCTTTGTAGATAACCCATCATCTTCATAGCCCAACCACTCACTGATAACAACCAAAGGTGTTTTCACTCTATTACGCAGTGTCCATTGCACTGTCAGAATGACACTACTGCTTGTGATCACATACCCTGTAGCTCTCTAATAACAGTTACTAAGTTATTTCCCTCTCTAACACTGTATTTCAACATGTACATGAAGAAGAAGGCAATGGTGTATAATTTCTTTTTCATGGAATTCTATTACTATACTTTTGCTTTTGTTTGTGTTTGTAGTTAGCCTTGAACTCATGGCACTTTAGTCTCCTTTTGCTTTTATGTTCAAGCA